TGGTTTACGAATTGCCTATTTAATGAAAATGACAACAACGGGTTACTAAGCAGTTTCTTGTAAATTTTACCCCATAAAACCCGTTGTCAAAGAAGGCCTGGAATTGTTTTTCATCAACCGTGACGATGACGTTAACGCGAAACCGAAGCATGTTACGGGCGGTTTATTCGTCCTACCATCTCTTAAATCGCCATCTTACAAATGTACTACCACAAAAACCACCATTTATACAGTAGACTATTATAATCATTACATTCATACGAAAAATGAAAGAAAACAATTCCGCAATTTGGTTTTTTGAGCCGGTCAACTTACTGTTGTGTTCCTCTCACTGGCGCATGCGCGCTTCGTTTGAATAATTACCCGTGGTTACCCATGCCCAATATAGCCAAGGTTTGAAAAATAAACACTCTGATGAATATTATGCAAAGGAGAATCAAGGCTGTGACAGATGCGCGAGAGAAACATTGAAGATATTGAGAGTTTATGATTTTTACTTTTGAGGGGTATCGTCATATGAGCTTCAATAGATCATGAATTATTAGACAAAATCAAATGGAATTTTGGTTATATCTCTTTGAAAAATGATTTTAAAAGTTCGATAAGAATACTGAAAAAAAAATAAAAGACAAATAGATATAATTCACCCTGCGTTTCCTTTCCTTTCAGTATATAATTTGAATATAAAAAATATATAATTGATATAAAATGGGTAGCAACTGTTCCTTTGACATGTGCTCGGCACTGGAAGTGAAAGTAAAAGTATCGGGTCCTTCGGATGAAACCTTAAAAATCGAGGTTCCGTGTCACGGCAGGTGTTGGCAAGTATATAGTCTCGTTCAACCAGACCCTCGGCTGTCTCCGTAAATCTCCGACGACCCAGAGGGTCTGGTAAAGATACGTATTATCGTTTGTGACGCCAAAACGAGGCTTACCAAAATTCTGGTAAAGTTTTTGATTGGCTGAAAAGAACACACCTACACGATTTAAATAAATACATGATAAATCAGCAGAAAAATAACTGAAAGATGTAAAAGAAATATGTCTAAAAGTTAAAGATGTTAGATAGGAATTGTTTACGGTAATGCCCACCAGTTATAGGTAAGTGTTTTTTTATTATGTCTTGCAAATATTCCGTACGAAAGCAAAAGTGAAAGTACTGTAGCCCTACCTGCGTAAAACACATTCCTTCGATTGATATTGTAATTTCTCGTTTGGAGTCCCAAATTAAAGAATAGTTTATTAATATTAAGTCACAATCCAGAAGAAGAAACACTTTTGACATTTATTTTCAAAAAGGATCTTAAAAATGAAAACAAGATAGCGTCCTCTAACGGTTACAAACGCATACGTGATTCTTTACCAGACTCTCTGCTGGTCGGAGTTTACGGAGACAGCCGAGCGTCTGGTTGAACGAGGCTAGGCAAGATAAAGTTCCCTCACTGCTCAATGGCTCTGAGTGCTTAGTATAGGCTTAAATTTGAAGCCCTTCGTCGGTATAATCGTTTTAAGAAATAAATCTAGATTTATTTTGGTATTTTTTGCATTCATGGGGTAACTGGTCTGTAGATTGATGTGTATTTAAAATACCTCAAAATGACACCTACGTGACTTTATTAAACACTCTTTCAATGGTTGCCCCATGCAATATCGATTTTAAAGAAATACCTCAACCTTTACAGAGTGCAGTGCGTGTTTGCTTTTGTGACATAGTTTATAAATGATGTTGTATAAGGTAGGTCTCATAGTGGTGGTGTTTGCCTTCAAATGGATGCACAATGGTAAAAACTGATTTTTTTTTTCTTTTCCTACTTACATGTTATTTTCCATATCAAATTATAAATATCTTTCATGAATTTAAATATCCCTTAGTTATCTCATGTTAACTGTATTTAAGTAGAGTTAACTACACATTTTGCTGGCGTAGGAAGCTTAAAACTAATTTCTGTTTGTTGTTGTACGCCCCTCTCGAAAAATTTGCACTCGTGTGAAAATGCACGCCTTGTCGCTGGAGGGCTGCAAATTAAGACCAAGTTTCGGCATTCAGGTCCATAAGGTAGTTAGGGATCTTATTCGTCCCAACACTTACTGCGACACAAAACATCGGTTTATACGATCAAACCCAAAGGACAGTTCCGCGCGTCTCGTATCGAGATTCAAACCCACGACAAAAGGATCAAATCCTCCGCGACTTTAGACGTCATAAACTGATGGTACAAAGTATTATGAACATATGCTTCTTATCTTTAGATAATTATTCCGTTATACGTTATAGTTGAAGTAAATAAATGATAGAGGGCGGAGCCCTCAAACGGGCCATAATTAAATAAAATGAATACTCTGGAAAGATCTTTACTTAATCTAGCTAGGGACTCAAGGGTGTGTGGAATTATTTTTTTGTACTCATATTGTTTGGGAATACTTACACGTGTACATAGATACATTAATATTCAGCAGGTGGATGTGTGTGTCTCATTTGATTTAACTTTTTGTTTTATTTTATGAATTTTTTCAAGTGATTAATTAAAACTTCAGTTTCTTGAAGATCACTTTCTTCTTCGATTTATTTATTTTAAAAATATAGACAAAAGGTATATCAATATAGTTTTCTATCCTAATAAATGTGTTTAACTATTAATAGTTAAAAAAAAAACATGAAACAAATATTAATACAGAATTATTGTTTGGCATCGATAAATATTCTATTCATTACTTCTCAGAAGTGTACCTTTTTTTAATGCTATGTTCATTGAAAACATGATAACAAGATAACTTTTGGGCAATCGGTCAATTAACTACCTTTCACTCCCGAATTCTAAGCACATTATTTAACTTATATTTTTAACTATCTTAATCGTCTCTACAAGTGATGAACTCACTTGATTAAAATTATTTGTTAGATTGCTGAAAACTCACTCCAAGCTAGTGTATTGCCTGTAGAGACAACTATGAATGGTTGGGAGGTGGATAAAATACACATATTGGCTACAGAATGTGTATAGAATTAGGAAGTGAAAGGTAGTTGATTGAACAATGCTAGATAGTGTAGAAATTCTCCCCATAAGTGCACAAAAAATATTGCACCGTAATTTTCACCTTTTTTGCATTACAGGTTCTGTAGCGTTATGGTCAAAGACAAATATATAAAATCATAACGTTACAGATCTGCAGCTAGACATTGAGAGACACGAAAACGATACAATCTTTGCTTTTCCGGCACTTATATTGTACAGTCTTTCCTTGCAGTTTAATTGTCATTTCTTAGCTTTATACTCATAATTTTCGCAAGTCTGTCTCTGTATGCTACAGATATCTTAAAAGAAGCACATTAGTTTGACTCATTGTGTTACTTTAAAAAATCCATTACTTAGAAGCTATATGTAAGAGTCCTTTTAACTAATACAACGGTGCCTTTGACCCGTTTATGACAATATCTTTTAAAATAAAATGTGTTGATCTGTACTATAAATTGTTTTATACTATGTTTTGTACTATAAAATAAATTCTAAGGAAGTATTTTTGGTAATTTGTTCTGGTTGCTTCTATCAAAAAAAAAATTGTGTGGGCTCAAATTCAAGGTCATTTGGAATATTTTAGCATCGTATTCTTATTCTGAATTCCGAGAAAAATGTCAAACTATCATAGGTTCTGGAATCCTTTTTAAGATTTTGTTTATCAACTTTTAAATTAAAAATTTTAAACTTGTTAATATAAATTAAATCGTTTGAGTGCCTATTATTTTTGTCTATCCATTTCCTTTGGGTTTAATTACTTCTTGATCGCCCACTTGGTGCAGTGTTTAGAGGGTTTGCTCTAGCATCGCGGAATAATTAGTTGATCCTTATTGTCGCATGTTCGAATTTTACTACTGGAGGAGGACACCGATCATTCAAATGAGTCCTTATAAACCGAGTATATTCTGTCACAAAAAGACCTGATTGACTGCTCAATGGTTCTCAGTTCTGAGAATATGTCTAAAAGTTAACGTTCTCCATTGGAAAGTGGTGTTGTCTCAATAAGGGAGAAATTCTCGAAAGAGAGTTTATACCAATAAAGAAACTTTTTTTATTCTTCCTAAGGGACGGGACGTAGGAAAAATTGACAATCTCTACTGTTAGTGTCGTTAATCATTTTATTGCTCGATCGTATAAAATTCATTTCTTTGGCCTTGCATCTATTTATTTCTTAGATATGGCAGAAATATATGATTTGCATGTACATTTCTTCCACTGTAAAGAATTTTTTGATTATCTTTGAACTGTTGGTAGTATCTTGTGTCAAAGTAAACATTTTAGGATAGACCGCAGGTCAATACAACCTGCAACATTATTCTAAAATATCGCATATGACCTCTTCTTTACATAGGCTAGACACTTTCAACAGGCACGTTATAGTTTAGGTAGAAAAGGGGTACGTGGTAGTGTTTTGAAAAAAAAAATTGGTACTGAAAGAAGTTCGATTCTTAGCCTCTTTTGTGTTTGGACAATGGGCACATTTTCTTTTATTTTTTGATCGTCAAGTTTTGGGAAGGTTTGAATTTTTTCTCTCTCACTTACCCCCCCCCCCTCCCCAACACTTTCAATTGGCTTCACATGCAAATGCGTTATAATTTCTTTTAACTTAAACTGTGCATCAATTACAATACGAATATGATTGTTATATTGTATTTTATTAATTACAACTGTGTTAAAGCAACCAGTGCATTGAAAAATTTCAATAAGACAGTTCAATACTGTACACATGTATTAATTTCTTTTTAACAGGCGATAAATGAAGTATCTCCACGTGGCTTAAGAGTTTTAAAGAAAATCAGCATCAGTCCAAAGAAATATATCTATGATCTCTGCATAGGTCGTGATGCAAAAATATGTGTTGCCGTGGAAACAGATAACTTCAGAGACTTTCAACTTAATGCTAGTGGAGACAAAGAATTTATCTCCTACAATGAGTCTTATTTACTTTACCATTATTCCTTTTCTTACTTATTCATCCTTAACAACTCTATAAAAAGCCCATCTACTATCTACCAGAGTACAGGACGTACACAACAATGGGGGTACATGAAGTATTTACAAACACCAACAGGCTTTAAACCACATGGATTAGCACAATGTGGATCGGGCCGTCTACTAGTCTGTCTCTGGAATCAAAAGCCGCGTGAAAAATCTCAAGGAAAAGTCTGCAAGTTGTTTGTAAATGATACAATGCAACAAATATGTGAATATGAATACGATAAAAGTACTCCATTATTCAAATGTCCGACGTACATCACAGAAAATGGTAACGGAGACATATGTGTATCGGATGAAGGAGCTGTGGTAGTGCTGAACGAAGTAGGAATGCTCCGATTTCGATACAAAGGTCTCGCCGAGGATCCGAACTTTGATCCGTACGGAATTTGTACGGATTCTTCGCGGAATATTATCATTGCTGATATGAAGAACGACAAGATACATATGATTGATGAAACTGGTGGATTCGTTTGTTATGTGCGGTATGAGAATATGGAGATGCCTCGGGCCTTGTGTGTTGGTCAGGATAACAAACTCTATGTTGGAGAATGGAAATCTGGTTTGATCAAAGTCCTCTCACTTACATGAACAGAAGTTTCTATAGCTTTGCAATTCTGTAGTGGTTGTATCATGAGGAGATTGACTTTTGAGAGATAAAAAATGGATTTTAACAAAAGGAAATTTACATATGGTCTGTAAATGGCAAGCCAAAAAAAACACTAATGTCAAATGGATTTTGAAATTAAAGGGTCTAGTATTTCTTTTAGAATGAAGAGAATAATTGAAATTAGAGATCAATTCCTCTCTCTTACATAAACACAATTTTCAATAGCGTTTCCTCTATAGTTGTGTTAAGAGAAGAGTGACTGTAAAGGAAAAAGTTATCTGCATGGGGTATTTATGTAATATATTCTAAATAAGGACTTAATTGGGGGAAACGTGTAAGTGTGCGAAGTGTATATACTTGGTATATGCTGTAATTGTACAAAATATAAGTGTGCTACTGTGTAGGTATTTAATTGTTTAACACGTTAACATGTTTATAATTGCTCAGCTATGTTAAGGACCGATATGGAAAATGTTACCTTTACACCGTCTTAATATGTATTACTTCTTTTAAAAAATTGTAACAAAGCAACTGAATACTTGTAGAAAATGTAATATTGCTATCAATAATGCCGAAAATGCTTATAATAGCTAAAAATTTCCACTTCGCTTAAATTCTGTTATAGATAAAATTAATGTTATGCAGACCAGGATCAGCTCCCAGCACTTTTCAAAATATACACTATATAAGCAATAAATATTCCAAATTTCAGCTCAAACAAAATAGTCTAGGCCCTTGCACTTTTGATGTAAATCACGAATACGCTCATAATTTTAGCTATATTCTCTACATTCCTTATCCCCGTGCAGCTTCAGTGCTACTAGATAAATTCATATTCTATACAGATTGTATTTAATTAATTACTCTCTTTTAGTTTTAATGATTTGGTCTAAAAATTGTCAATGGTATATTATTTATTTAAGCATTCTTGTAATTATTTAACAAGTGATCTAGTCCTCTGGATCACCTGTGCTGCGTCATGTTAAGGCAGATGACGTCATATTTGAAAAAAAGGCTTACTTCTATTACTCGAATGCATTGCTATCAAGTTGCAATTTTACAAGATTTCATAAATAATCGATCAAATAAATAAATTCAAGTTGTGATTTACGCATGATCATGTCGTTAATCAATTTTTGTAGCTTGTTGAATTTCAATGACGTCACAATTAAACTTCCAATACGATGTACAAGGAATGTGAACTCTGACCTTCCTTTACATAGCTGAGTGTGAATATCATGTAAACATGCTAGGTTTGCAATTTGTTGGTATGTTATTATACTATGTGTTTAAAGCTGACATGAATTCTTAAAAACGCAACATTTTCATCTATGTACGACTTGTTTCATACCAACTATAGCCGTATTCCGCCATATTTCTTTCAGATACCTTGTTTCATTGTTACGATATATACCCCAATGTGCTCGTTACACTTGAATGATTTTTTGGCTTGGGTATCGACATGTGCACATCTCCGATGGTAAAGCATATGAGAACACATGAGGTGATCAAGACATTTCAAAACCACAGTAAACAACATAATAATCATATTTCTGAATGATTATTGATTTGAAACCAAAGTAAAAAAGAAAAAAAAAATGCAAGTTTGGAAGAGAAATTTAGTTGCACGCGTACGTATTTTTACTGTGCGCCAATTTATGCAGAATAAACTTGAAATAAAGAAAAAAGTAAAATCCGCAAACACATTTTGAAATAATTATCATTTGAATGTAACAAGACAACCAACGTCTTTGATTTGCAGGTCCTATGCAATTGATGCATATCGAGAAAATGCCTCCAACGCTGTAAACGTACCCATACCTGGTAATAAGGTTACTGCATTGGTTCGAAGATGTGCACAAGTCAAGTGATATACACCCTGAATTCCATTTATTGAAATATGCATCACAAAAAAGAAATAAACTCCATAAAAGCTCAATAGTAAACACACTGTCATTACTCTGTACAGACTAGCACGTCGATACACTTAGTCCGTGCTGATCAGATTTTGGTCAGGGAAAATATCACAAGTGGAAAGAGAAGTTATTTGGTATTTGCGCGGCTAAAAGAGGGGGGGGGGGGTATTATAACTGCTGTTCATACGGTAGTTATTTACTTCAAATCTTAAAAGCAATTAACCAGAATACAAATTTTTATGTGTACATTCTATACATTCTTTAACACACACACACACACGGAGAAAGGCCATCCCCTGTTCAGATTGACATTTAGGCATTTTATTTTTTTAAGCGGGGTGGGCGGGGGGGGGGGGGGGGCATGCAAAAATAATTGAAATGACCGTTATTGAAATATTATTGGAAGACAGACATTTATGCCGAATTCAATTTTGAGATTTTTAAAAAATGTTTATCCGACCACAAAGTATGTGTATTTTGAGGAATGTGACTGTTTTATAAATATGTTGTTACAGGAAGTCTTTCGAGATTTCAGTATCCCTGCCTGACAGTCTAGCTATGTTTTTTTTTATATATAAATATAATTTCTGTAGGAGTATTTTGGAGATAATTTTAAAAGCTAGGGTAGGGATGCTTGAAACCTGGTTGAGTAAGGATAATTTTTATTTACTCTTTTGTATATTGAACTCTCGAACTCTCTCTCTCTCTCTCTCTCTCTCTCTCTCTCTCTAACCATCCGTTAGGGCAATAATAGGTACCGGTATAAAATCCTACGCACTTTGTGCTGTACCATTTATTAAGCCTTAGGACAGACCAAGAATTTTTTCAGACGGGGTGTCATTTTCATTCATTCTTTATTTCCTCATAATATGAGATAATTTCACAATCAGAACAAAATCAACTATCCATTATACAAAGTTAGGAAAAGAAAATAATCAAGCAAAGAGAAAACGAAAGTGAAAAAAAAGTTTGTGGTTAAATACATCATATAGGAGGAAATTTGTCAATTGTCCCCCACTGGCATATGTTGATGCATCTAAATGATACCCCCGCCTCCCATATGGTTATAATGGCAAAGTACATATTTTGCTGTTGTCGGTAAACCCAAATTAGGTGTCAGATCAAAAAGAAAAATAGGAGGTGCACAATGGTAATGTATGGAACGCCGTCACTGCCTTATAGCAGAACACTACAATTGCATTGTGTCAACTTTCCATTACATTATGTCAACACATTGTGACATTTACTTACAGTACTATTGCGTTATGTCAACTTTCCATTACATTATGTCAACTCTTTATGACATTAACACACACTACTATTGCGTTATGTCAACTTTCCATTACAGTATGTTAAGTCTTTATTGCATTAACTCGCACTTCAATTACATTGCGCCAATCTTCCATTGCATTATATCAGCTCTTCATGACATTAAGTCAAAACAATTTAACGTGGTGTCAAGATGTTATTATATAATTTAAACTCATTGTTACATTATGTGCACTCTCTGCTATTTGGTCTAAGTAGTTCATTACATGATGTGAATTTATCTTTAATTCAATATCATGTCGCTATAACACGATGCCAGAATTTCATATATGATATGAAAAAAATTGTCACATGTGGCCAATTCTTTACTATATTGTGTCATCAATATGCTACATGACGCCGGGAATCTATTACATGATGTCAATTTTCCCTAACTTTTTGACAAATCATTATTATGTTATGCCATTGTATCTCTACACTGTGTCTAAAATGCTTAGCCTCTCGTCAGTATATTTTAGAATATTTCAACTCTTTATTATGTGACGTAAGGTTTAGGTTAAGCCTAAAAGTTCGTTTTGTGTTTTCAATATTACATGCACATATGTTAAACTTGCAAATGATTTAAATTAAACGTATCAAATATTAAATTATACACAAGACTTAATTAATCCTTAATTAAATATCAGGTTAAATTAAAAATAGGATCATGTTCCCATGGAATCTTTATTGACGATTTGAAAAGTCCGAAACTTCTGATCTAACTACAAAACACTGTCCTAAGCTTTTTATCAGTCTTTAACCCTCCTTTTTCAAAAAAAAAAAAAGTGTAAAAAAATAGTATTTCATACGTGCACTGGTGGGTCGGTGGGGAAAGGGAGGATCCCGCCCTCCCATCTTAAGTGACCAAAATATGCATGAAATTAATCAATTGATTTTACTTTGTAGGACATTGCATTAGTTTTACATAAAGTATAACTGAAATAAGTTGAAACGTTTTATTAAAAAAAATCTAAAGCCTGAGAGCTTTCGGGCTTTCACCCCCTGGTCCCAAACTTAGACACCATATCGTCCCCCTATAGCTACTCTTTTCAAGAACCCAAGATCGCAACTGATATGACCCCGTGTTAATTTAAGTGAAAACGTAGATTTTTGTAACAGAATTCTGGTCCTGGAATGGTTGAAAAATTACTAATTCCAGTGGACGTTGCATCGTTTTTGAAAGCTGGGGGAGGTTTGTCAGCCAGAAAAAAATAACGTACAAGAAAAAGCGAAAAAAAAATCCAAACTCGAAAATCCTATTTCGGGTGAAAGGAGGGGGGGTCCAACTTCGATCAGTCCTTTAAAAAATTCCAAATATACTACATTACCCTTATACTTGGGACTGTATTTCAATGAACATTTTCTATGATAAAGTTATGTCGGAAAAAGAGGAAGTCAGACCCCCCCCCCCCCTCATATAATGTGTCTGTAATTCGTCCTAATTAATCAGGACCCCCCCCCCCATCCCCTTCCCAGTCCTGAAAACACGGTTATCAACTTTGACATAATGTAAATGTATTTTACAGCGCGTAATGAACATTTGTAATCAACATGATAAAGAATTAACACAATGTAAAGATAGTTTTAAATCACATAAGAAAGAGTTAACATATTCTTATTAAATATCCACATAAAGGAATGGAGTTTTGACATAACGTAATAAAGTGTTGATATAATATGGAACGCCGTGACTGTCTCCATAATATATATTCACATTATGTTATTAACCTTTTTACATCACGTAATAAAGAACTGACATAAAGGTAAGATGTATTCAC